AAGATATCTCTAATTTACTCATAACATTGGGCTAAATTATACTAGATATCCAACAGTACTTGAAGGGTACTGTGATGCAAACTGGATATCGGATACTAGAGACTCAAAGTCCACCAGTGGGTATGTCTTTACTCTTAGTGTGGCTGTATCTTGTAAATTTTCTAAATAGACTTGCATTGCTAGGTCTACTATAGAATCAGAATTCATAGCTTTAGATAAAGGTGGGAAAGAAGCAGAATGGCTTCGCCACTTCCTTGAAGATATTTCAATGTGGCCAAAACCGGTGCCTGCTATATGCATACATTGTGATAGTCAATCAGCAATAGGTAAAGCACAGAGTCATATGTATAACGTCAAATCCCGACACATTCGTTGTTGACATAACACCGTGAGACAACTACTCTCAAATGGAATTATTTCCATTGAATATGTGAAGTTTCAAGACAACATAGCAGATCTACTAACCAAAGGGTTAGCAAAAGAGTTAGTTAAAAATCCATCGAAGGGAATGGGACTTAAGCCTATTAAATAAGAGTTACCACAATGGCAACCCTACCTAGTTGACTGGAGATCCCAAGATCTAGGTTCAAATGGACAACCGAGTTATGTATGACTCATAAGGATCACTAGAGAGTCAAACTCCTATCCATTTCTGTTATGAAATAGTGATGTCTACAGCGCTTTAGGTTATGTAAATTTTAATGATTCTTATATCTAGGTAAACCTAATGAATTATGACAAGATACTCTTCATAAGAATCACCTATGTGAGTGTGAATTGGGCCGATTCTATGAGATTTGTGAATGGCTTCAATTCTCTAGAGCACTTATGAAAGACCTGGTTGTTTAGAGCCAAAATGAACACAATAGTGACAACTAAACTGTATTTGGTAATATTCTGTGTGAGTTTTATTGTCTTGGTTTACACAAATGGCTGAACAATTCAAGACATTATGTTCACTTAGTAAATCCGATAGTGTCTCACAAGGGAAGGTTCAAAGCCAAAAGCTACCTATCCTTTGCAGAATATTTTCAATTTCTGTATTCTCTGCAATTAAATCATATTGTTGCATTTTCTCTCCATCAAATTCCATTCATTTGAGGGATTGTTGGAAAATTGGTTTTATATAGGATTATTTTGGACCATCTTTGAGCCCAAAATTGAGTGAGGTCTATACGTCTTTTGGGGGAGGTCTATACGTCTTTTGGGGTAGGTCTGAAATGGTGACGTGTTTCTTGCCGTGTGGCAAGTCACACGATAAAGACGGTTCGCCAAAAATATTTATGAATGAATGGGAACTTGATGTCGTTTTCGGATTCATGGAATGGACATTTAAAGAATTAAATGTGGGTTTCCTTGAAATGGGTTGTCCCACTTTAAAACTTTAAGAGAATTTGCCAAGCCAAGCGGTGCCGTGCGCGGGTGTGGGTTGTGGGTCAGGTCGGTTCTAGTTTTAATTTTTTGGACAAACTTCATTTGAATTTTTTCTAGAAATTCTTAATGAAATTAAATTCAAATTTTGTGCCAAAATTGAATTTAATTTTCTGTCCATATTTTGCCTATTTCAGTCCAAAATATCCAACAAATTAACTGCTCAAAACTGCTACAGTTATACAAATTTGAATCTGCCCAGTTCAAACAGTTTCATACAGTTCGGACAAATCAAACATTCCAGCAGTTATCTGTTTGAATAGTAACAGCACCTGTTCATTCAAAATTCAGACCTGTTGAAGTTTGAATTCACACCTTTTCGACGCTATATATACCTAGACCATTCCAGCAGATTTCCAATCTAAAAATTCATTACTTTCCTTCTAGTTTTGCTCTCTTACGTAATATATTCATCATATTATTTTAGGAGAAAAAATTCAGAGAGTATAGAACACAAGGTTTGTTCGCCGTACAAGTTGTTTGGAGTGCTACTACAATTTGTGAAGATCATTGTATCCTGGGAGATATAGGCCATTTAACCATAAGCACCATAACGGGACGAATCTGTCTTAAGGACAGAGTGTCACACACTCGACTTGATCTTTTTATTATTCATTTGATTCGGTAAAATAAATTCAGTAAGTTATTTATTTTATTTGTTTGATTTTGTTTCAATTTATTTTTTACACAGAAGATTGTTCCAACAGAGAATATCTTCAAAGAGGAAAGCAATCAATACGCTAAGTAAGAGTAGCCATCTGGATAAAAACACACTCAGTGGGGCAAGGCTACACAGTGGATGATTTTGTCTACAATATTCAACAAGTTAGACGCTGCATAGTGTGACTATTGTAGTGTTGTAGTTGAGTACGATAAATAGATTTTTACTCAACCCATAATGGATGCAAAATTTTAACTTTAAGTTATGGAGGCTACCAAGGAGGGTTTTTAATCATTAACATATTTTGCTAATGGATGATGAGAGGGATTGGGCACCTATAGGCCATTTAGATTCCTTAATACTTGGACTCTACACCCTAACTTCATATCTTTCGTGGAAGAAAGCTGGGCCGAAACTAATGTGGATATTTGGTATTAATTTCTATCCCCTTATCTCTTATAGAGCACCCACTTCTTTCAGATTTATAGAGATTTTATTGATGAATATGTCAATGTACAAAACGTTAAAAATACACATCAATAAAGCAAAGTCAAGTGCTTTGATCATTGTCAATACATTACATCCTAACTATGTTAGTACACAATGCAAAACTAATCATACGCATTCCCATAGTCAACCTGAACTAGGAGTTTGAGAGATTCCAACTCAACTAGCTACTCCTCAATACATTCAGAGACACACTAATGCTCAACTAAATTGGCCAAAACCAATTGCCATCATCCACCAATACAAACTCTAATAAGCTTAATATTAAAGAAAAAGTGATTTAAAGAATTGATGAATCTAATGTAAAGATGAATGGTACCATTCGTTGTGTGACTTACTACCCCAATGGACACCAGTCTATTTTGAACCCTCCGGCACAAAATATTTCAATTAATTTGACTGTTTTTTTATTTCATCTTTTCTTGACTCGATTACTTTAATCATCAATCAATACCTACATCACTTGATTAGGCTTATTTCCAATTGTAGACAGCATTATTGGAACCTCTCCAATTTGGTTGGTTTTGGTTTAGGTTGCATATGATTGGTCTCTCAGTTCTCTTCTGTGAAGCAGATTGGGACTAGATAGTATTTTTCAAAAGAGTTCTTAGATGCTTTGAGCCTTCCTTTGAAATTTTTGGAGCTACCTCTAGGAGCTAACCCAGGTAGAAAATCAACCTGGAAGCCTGTACTTGACAAAATCAGATTATGGCTTTCAGGTTGGAAGAGAAAATTGTTGTCCTTTGTAGGAAGACTAACCTTGATCAAGTCTGCTTTATCAAGTTTACCTATGTACTACATTTCTTTATTTAAGATGCCTGAAGGTGTGGCAACAGAATTTATGAACATTGAGGTTGTGTTCTTGTGGGGTGGTAATGATCTAAAAAGAAAAGTTAATCTAGTGAAATGGGTGAAGCTAAAAAAGAGTGCTACTACAATTTGTGAAGATCATTGTATCCTGGGAGATAAACGCCACTTAACCGTAAGCACCATTGCGGGGCGAATCTGTCTTAAGGATAAAGTGTCACACACTCGACTTGATCTTTTTATTATTCATTCGATTCGGTAAAATAAATTCAGTAAGTTTTGTTTCAATTTATTTTTTACACTCAAGATTGTTCCAACAGGATATCTTCAAAGAGGAAAGCAATCAACAAGCTAAGTAAGAGTAGCCATTTGGATAAAAACACACTCAGTGGGGCAAGACTACGTGGTGGATGATTTTGTCTACAATGTTCAACAAGTTAGACGCTACATAGTGTGACTGTTGTAGTATCGTGTGTTGGTTCCTCACCAACTCTTTCGGCCTGAGTTAGCACATGATTGTGTTGGCTTCTTAGTACCAACCTAGTTGGGATTAAGAAGTTTCACTTTGATGCTTTTGCTCTTGCCTCTTTTATTGATGTTTTTCTTATGTGTATCATTTTGATTTCATCAATAAAAGTCTTTCTTTTGCTGATAAAAACAAAAAAACAAAAAAATAGGCTAAGTAGAAGTTGGTCTTGATGGGTCCAGGGGATGAAGGCTGGATTGGGGACTTCAACATTGTCCTGACTAATAGTTGGAAAAGGACATGGAGTCAAGCCATCAATATAGCCAATTAAATCTTGACTTCGAAGGTAGGGAGCTTGATGGAGAGGAAGTGATGGGCACTGGTTAGAGGAAGAGGGGAAGCAGCAGATTGTGAATTGGTTGAGGAAACAGAGGAGTGTGTGACTGTGGCCATAACAACTTTTTGATACTATGATACCAAATTGGAACTTAATTACTCCACAAATGAAATGATTTTCTCACACAATTATGTGAGGAGTTATACTGCTATTTATACACTATGTTCTTGTACATGATAAGAAATAGCAGTTAGAGATAGATACCAATAACTGTACAATAGCCTGATAAGATATAATAATATGATAACCATCATGATCACCTAAACAGATTGCTAACCACGTAACCAACAGATCAACATTATCTAATAGGAGAGATGGAAACCGATTGAGTTTTTTTTTGAATTTCATGATTGAATTCTTGATTTTAAACTTGACTATTTTAGTTTATAATTTTATATTTTATCATATCTCTTAACAGTTTTAATTACCTACCCCCTGTACTTGGCTACCGCATCGCTGAAACCATCACGGTGACCGAAATCGCTTTTTAAAATCTTGGAGCCACCTGATTAAACCCACCTGACCCATCCGACTCAACTCTAGTTCGGTCAGGAACATGTGTGATCTAGGAGAACCAATTAAATTCAAACCGAATGAATATATATAAATTAGAGTCCTTATAAATACTATTTCATACATTTTTTATTAGAATCGGATTAGGGCAAATACAATCAGGCCAGGTAATTTTACGGATCAATTTTCTTTGTTTTATAATTTAGAAGAGTTGGTACCTTCCTTCTTAAGGCTTTGTTAGATTCAGCAAGCATTTGTTCCTGCAAAAAGCAAACCATTGAATGTTAAACTTAACCAACAACCAAAAGTGAATTATTGGTTTGCAGATATGCATACTAGAACTTGAGATACAAACCCTCCTCTGAAGGTCAGCAAGTTGATCAAGCATAAATTGAGTCTGAAAAAACATACAACAAAATAATTTTTTAATTACCCAAAAAAAAAGGAAATTTATTTGTGTAAATTTTGAAAGTGCAGCTGAGTTCATCACCATACCATACACACATCAATGAAAGGTCAAAAAAAAAAAATGCTAAAGATTATATCACAACTAGATTGGCACATAATCTCAGCCAATCATGTGCAAAATAGCAACGCAGATAATAACAAAAAAAAACTTTTTAAGAGTATTGTAACTTGACTTAAAGTGTAAAGAATTGACAGTTACAATTAAAAGTGAAATGACCAAAATGAGATAATGCAAAGGAACCATTCACATTTTAGTATATATCAAGTAGAACATACGTACAACTCGATGAACGTACTATCGACATTTGATCAACTTGATTTTTTACAAATATATTCTACTGAATGTAACTTAAAAGTAAATGGTTCGGATATCAAAATAGGCCCATTAGCCCATCCCTTATCAAGTGCCCATTAACAAAATATTTTTGTCCCAATTTCATTAGTAATTACGGCCGGACACTTTATTATCATTTGCCTTCGCTCTTAATATTATGTTTTCATTTTTGAAACCATGCCTTGACATTGATTTCTAACATCCCGTGATAAATAGAATGTGTAATGTTGAGGTTCAAATAGATTTTAGACACATACACAAAAAAATTTAAAAAAAAAAAAAATGCTAAAGATTATATCACAACTAGATTGGCACATAATCTCAGCCAATCATGTGCAAAATAACAACACAGATAATAACAAAAAAAACCTTTTAGGAGTATTATAACTTGACTTAAAGTGTAAGGAATTGACAGTTACAATTGAAAGTGAAATAACCAAAGTGAGATGTTGCAAAGGAACCATTCACATTTTAGTATATATGAAGTAGAACATACGTACAATTCGATGAAAGTGCTATCGATATTTGATCAACTTGATTTTTTACAAATATATTCTACTCAATGTATCTTAAAAGTAAATGGTTCGGATATCAAAATAGGCCCATTAGCAACACAATAGCCATCCCTTATCAAGTGCCCATTAACAAACTATTTTTATCCCAATTTCAATAGTAATTACGGCCGGACACTTTATTATCATTTGCCTTTGCTCTTAATATTATGTATCCATTTTTGAAACCATGCCTTGACATTGATTTCTAACATCCCGTGATAAATAGAATGTGTAATGTTGAGGTTCAAATAGATTTTAGACACATATACACAAAAAAATTTATGCTCCTCTTTTTAATTTATTTATGGGACATGATCTACAAATTTTAAATAAATTGGAATAAGAGGACAGAGACATGAATATGAATGTTCATGAATAAAATTTAATAGTTGTCTTTTGCGGAGTTCATGTAAGTAATTGAAGGGTTGGAATGCATTTAATTAAGTCTAGATGTTGCAACCCTACAGAAATGTCCTATTTACTTCAACTATTTTTTGTGAAGTGGAATGACCTTCAATTTTCACACATAATTTTTGACAAACTCATGATAACTCATGGTTGGTTTTTCAAAGTGATTGGATCAGATCCAAAACATTCATTTTTCATCTGAAACGGCGCAACAAATTCCACTTCCAACTATGCGGTGAGTTGCACTGAATTTTGGGTAAATTCTCTTACTTTCGCGGTATAAATAAATCTGTTTTGAGTCATGTTTTTCTAACTTGGATTTACTATTTTTGGCAGCTTTATATTTCATATAATCTTGGTTCAATTGAGAGCGTGAATTGTGGTTTGGTCACCGAACGCTGTTCGCTATAAATTGAGTTGTAAGCCATCGGATCGGACTATTCAATTATTTTGACTAATAAAATTTTAGAGAAAGTTCTCTTTTCTATATTATTGTTATTTTCCTTCATTTTGTTTGCTTCCTATTTTCCTTAGTCATGGTGCTTCAATTTTCTTTGATATCATTACAGTCATATTACAGTTTAGCAATGTAACAAACCTACTAGTCTTGCATACCTTGCTTTTGTTGTACATTGCCTCGACCCCAAAGATGTATAAATACTACTGATTTGCAATGGTATGCTATGAATTTGCATTTTCATTGTGTAATTGTTTCAATCTTTGGTTTTTTTTTTTTTTTTGGTACACAGATATCCAAGCTGTATATATAAAGTTTGTTTACCTTTGTTGATCTGATTTTTTTCAAGGAGTTCTCCAACTGGTACTCAAGCTGATCAAGCTCCTTTGTGTTTAATGGTCCCAAATCTTCCCCAAGAAGGTTTCTGCAACCACCACATTCGAATTTTCAAATTTAAATTATATATATAATTTCATCAATCTTGAAAAAAACTAGACAACTACTACATATAGCGAACACATGTTACACTTGAATTTAGAAATATCAAATTTGTGTTGATTACCTCTGGGATTGTTGTAGGATCTCAACTCTTGCCTTAAGCCTCAGATATTCATGGTAGTTGTTCTGCTTTTGGACAATATCAACCATTTAATATTATCACATGCTCAATTTCACAAAACAAAAAAGAAAATAAGGGTCAAGGTATCTTAGCATGAGTTTTAGCATAGTACTCAAAAGAAGTAAACATAACCGATGAGATAAAATAATAAGTTAGTACAAATTTATGTTTTATCTCCATATGCTTTGTTTCGTTAATTTTCATCAATAAAGTTTTTTTTTTTTTCTCTTTGCTGATAAAAAAAATAATACTCATGAAAACAATTGTTACAATAATGTGATGGGAAAAGCTCGCAAAATAAATTTAGGGCATACATTTATTTCTTTTTTTGTGCACATTCCTATATATATATATATAAATTTTTGATAACTCTATATCTAGTCCATTAGACTAACTAATTCAGGAAACCAATCCTACCGTCCATCTTAAAAAAACACACTCCCAAGTCCCAAACTTTGACCACTATGACAACCCCTTGGGATTTGTGAAGAATGACTTGAATGCAAGAGAACAGTAATGATTCAGACCACTAATTTTGATGCTCTAATGGAGCACTAATGACATGACAACGAACAAAAAAAATAAAATAAAAACAAACCAAGACCAAAGCATCACATCATTGTGGGTGGAGCCACTGCCAACTCATTAGAGCTACCTTTAGAGCTCAAAAATTAGAGTTCTAAAGTATCTTTATGCAAGAGAATAATATATAGGGTTACCTGGTTCTCAATGGCAGGTTGCCTGGGATCCAACAAATCATAGCTACACCTTTGGTACCTTTCAAGTGTTTTTGCCATGCTAAAATTGAAACAAGAATGATAATGAGAACTATGTTTCTTTTTTTTCTTTTTTTCTTTTGTGTGTGTGTGTGTTATCAACAAAAACAGAAGCAAAGGGGGGGGGACCTTTTCTTAACATATATAAAATTATTACCTCAATTTTGCTATTAAAATAGGTTACCAACTTTATGCTACATATGCATCATGTCCGCAATATAATAATAATGCACTTCTACAACGATAACCCCGTCAAGATTCGCATTTTGAGACAAAAAAGGATGGCCAACAGAGGATGGATTCCAGTGGTAAAGCAAAGAGGGAAGCAAGAAGCAAGGAAATCAGTGGGTAGTGCAGTAGTCTTCACGGTGTTTGTGGATAATCTACCTAATTCGATGAATACCAAAGGCTTGTCTAACTTGTTTGGAAAGTTTGGAGTTGTAAAAGATATTTACATTCCACAAAAGCGTCGCAAGAATACCAATACTAGATTTGGTTTTGTAAGATATAGCTGTGAGGTAGCTGCAAACGTTGCTGTGCAGAAGGTGGATGGTCTATGGGTGGATGATAAGAAGTTATTCGTGAAGCTTGCAGCTTTCGAACGAAGCAGAGAACAGGGGAAGTTCCATGCCCAAAAACCACCGCAGTTACATCTCAGAGAGGAACTCCGGAGAGGCTCACATCACTTCTCCAACAACAAAACGTTCGCAGACGTGGTAAGAGGTATTCAGATACAGGACAGAGACTCTATTACAGTTTAGGCCGAGGAGTATGGTAATGGGTGGCTTTACGACAGTGTCTTAGTCCGGCTAAAAGTCAGATGTGTAAACATTAGTTTGAGGTTCGAGCTTAATGCTAGAGGAATAGACGGGTTTGAAGCCAGACAAGGAGGTAGTCGTGATGTGGTGTTATCTTTCAAGTCCAAGGAGGAAATGGTAACAAAGATGAAGTCTATCAAAGAAATTATCCATGAATGGTGTGATGACATCATCCAATGGAGGCCAGAGCTTGCTCTAGCACAGGAGAGAATTGTATGGCTTACCTGCTATGGCATTCCCTTACATTTATGGAATAGGTCCAATCTTGTTAAGATTGGTAGCATATGGGGTGAAGTTATTGATGGTGCTGAAGGCTTGCATCAGTCCTTCGTATGTGGTAAGCTTAGGATCCTTACCAAGTGCATGGATCCCATTAACAGTGTTATCAACCTGGTGACTAAACACTCCTATCATCCAGTGAGAGTCTTGGAAGTTCAGGGCCTTGAAGCAAAAACCATAAATCAGTGCTGCAGCTGTTTGAATCATTTAGATAAGATGAAGGATCTCAATTCAGAGGAGGAATGTGAGGATCATGGTTCCAACCGGGTTGGTAAGCCACTACAGAACCTCAGAGATGAGTCAACTCAATCCATAGAAGGTGGGTCAGCTCGGGGTGCTGAGCAATTCAAAAATGAGGCCAGTCGAGTGTTGACACGTGGGGATGGCAGTATAATAGAGGCAAATTGGAAGAGTGATACGGAAGTGGCTGAGTCTAGTAGCATAGTAGGCAAGGAGCTCGAGGTCGAAGCAGGCAGGGAAAAGGTGGCAGGTAGCAGTGCATTTAATGCCTCAAAACCAGCTGAACAAGATAATGATGGGCATGTCTTCTCGCCTGGGTGTATGAGAAGATTGAGTGGTTCTAGTCTAAATTTACATGGGTTAAACTCCAAAGTGGAGTTGGGCCAAAAAAATTTAATCATAGAAGACTTGGGCCAAAATATTTTAAACCATGGGTTGCGTGGGCCGATTGATTTGGGAAAGGCAACTTTCTCTGAGAATGTCTGCCCAGTTGAGGAAGTGGGCAATTCTGATGATGAGATTAGCAACAGTGAAAATGAAGGTGTAGTGGCCCAACCTGCTGTAGCTGCTTGGGCCAATAATGTTAAGACCCAAGGGAAGGAAATTAGTAGGCCAAGATCAGAGAAGGAGATGGCTATCAATGTTGGTCCTCAAGGTAGATTCTGGAAAAGTAAAGGAACACCGGGGGCTCTATTAAAAAAATCTCGGCAGTGCTCTGAACAGGTGTACATGCCTGGGTATATGAGAAGTTTAAGTGAGTCTAGCATGGCTAAGCCTGGGCTGAATTTGGAAGTGGTGTTGGGCTGTAATATGGGGTCTACTGATCAGGTTATCCATACAGAAGTGGGCCCATCAGCCCTGTTGAATAAGGGATTGAACAAGCCAGTAAATGGGAGGAAGGAAGGTAATAACAATCGGAACCGTAAAAGGAAAGCATCAACTGGGGATCAATTATTGTTGGAAAATAGAGCAAGAGTGCACGAGTGTGGTCAAGTTTAGGGTAGTAAAATAAAGGGGCAAAGCCAAAGAAGAATGAGGAAATTGCGTTCTACTCATCACTTCTGCCAAGGATTTCACAGAGGAGCTATTTTCAGAGCTGCGGCAGCAGTGATGTCTTCATCTCTGTCAATCAGTAGTGGGGCTTATAAACAGATTTTAAGCCGAATTGAAGCTCAAGAAACCGTGAAGGTGGGGAAAGTTTTGGGTATTGAATTTGGGGCCAATGAAGAGAGTGTTATCCAGAAAATTTCGGAGATGGATAGACAAGATGAGGAAAGACTAACCAAAAAATGGGTGAATGGTGGTGCTTAAGTCTGCACCTTCAGGGGATTTTGCAGTCAAAGTTTTGTTCCATAATGAAAGTTCTTTCGTGGAATGTTAGAGGCTTGGGTAAGCCTGAGAAAAGGAGGTGGATCAGAAATTTCATAAAGTCAAAAGGGGTGGATATGGTGTTGATTCAAGAAACTAAAAAGTCAAGTATTGATGAGAGATTTGTCAGATCTCTATGGGCAGAAGATGAACTGGGGTATATGGAGGTGGATGCAGAAGGAAGTGCAGGGGGTTTGCTATGTCTTTGGAAACCTCATGTGTTTCAGGTGAAGAATTGTTGCAGTTCTAGGAATTTTATCTTGCTATCAGGTCTGGTTTATAATAGTTTTGATTGTGTTATTGGTAATGTCTATGCTCCTAATGATTGTAGAGGTAAAAGTCAACTGTGGAAGGTCCTTTATAACTTGAAAGCATCCTTTCCAAAACCTTGGTGTTTAGGGGGGGATTTTAATGAAATTAAAGCTATTGGAGAAAGGGAAGGCTGTGTGAGAAGAGATAGGGGGATGCAGGAGTTCAATGAACTTTTAAATAATATTGAATTGGTTGATGTTCCTATGCTTGGTAGGAAATATACATGGAGTAATTCACAGTCAGGTGCATGTTGGAGTAGGATTGATAGGTTCCTATTAAATCCGAATTGGCTTGTGTGGTTTAATTTTAAGTTATGGGGCCTGCCTAGAATACTGTCTGATCACTGCCCAATTTTATTGAAGGAAGATGATAGGGATTGGGGGCCCAAACCATTCAAATTCTTAAATGCCTGGGTGCTTCATCCCAGCTTTCTTAAAGAAGTTGAAAAGGTTTGGGTTGGTACACAAGTGGTAGGGTGGGCTGGATTCAGAATTATGGTCAAATTGAGAACACTTAAACAAGCACTGAAGATTTGGAATGTGGAGGTATTCGGTCATGTGGAGTCCAAGCTCAAAGCTGCTGAGGCTGAGTTACATTCGTGGGATCTAACAGCTGAAGTGAGAGATCTTGCAGAAGATGAAGTTAGACAAAAAAATTGAGATTAGAAATGAAGTGTGGAAGCTTAGAAAAAGGCTAGAGTAGCTTTGGTTGCAGAAATCCAGACTGAACTGGACCTTAAAAGGGGACAAAAACACCAGATATTTCCATATTATGGCATCAAGAAGGCATAGTAAGAACGTCCTTGATTCACTGAAGATTAATGGTACTCTATATGAGGATCCTGCGGAGTTGAAACAGGCAGTGGCAGCTCACTTTAAAACTTTGTTCGCTGAAGTTTGGAAGATTAGACCAAGGCTAAGGGGTGAGTTTAGTAGCATTGATCAAAATCAGATTCAATCTTGTTTGGTGAAGGAGTTTTCAAGAGCAGAGGTTTGGGCAGCAATCAAGGAATGCGATGGCAATAAGGCCCCGGGGCCTGATGGTTTTAATCTTACTTGCTTCCAAAAGGGATGGAAATTTATGAAGGATGATATCATGAAATTCATGCAAGAGTTTCATGATAATGGTGTATTGGATAATGGAATTAATTGTTCTTTTGTGACCCTCGTTCCCAAAATAGTTAGTCCAGAAGCAATTACAGACTTTAGACCTATCAGCCTAATTAGTTCAGTCTATAAAGTGGTGGCTAAAGTCTTGGCCAACAGGATGAAATTAGTGCTGCCAAAAATTATTGATAGAGTCCAATCAGCATTCCTAAGTGGTAGGAATATTATGGATGGTGTTCTTGTTGCAAATGAGATTGTGGACTGGTGGAAGAAGACTAATAGAAAGGGGCTAATCATTAAGTTGGATTTCGAAAAAGCCTATGACACTGTTAACTGGAATTTCCTTATCCAAATGTTAGAGAATTTTGGCTTTGGACCTACCTGGACCAAATGGATAAAGGAATGCATTTCTTCTGCTAGAGTGTCAGTTCTTGTTAATGGGTCACCATCACCAGAGTTTTGCCCTCAAAAAGGTTTAAGGCAAGGTGATCCTATATCCTCTTTTTTGTTTAATGTAGTAGTTGAGGGTCTGAATATACTCATATCAAGAGCTAAAAATATGGGTCTGTTTAGAGGTATATTTGTAGGTGCTAATGGGTTGAATATATCTCACTTACAATTTGCTGATGACACAGTGCTGTTTTGTGAGGCTGAAGGGTCACAAATTTTGGCTATAAAAAGAATCCTTAGGTGTTTTGAAGTAATTTCAGGTCTAATGATCAATTTTGCTAAAAGTGTTGTGTGTGGGGTGGGTGTGGCAGATGTGGAGGTTGATGAGTTTGCAAGGAATTTGAATTGTCTAAGCACGAAATTACCATTGAAGTATTTAGGATTACCACTGGGAGCTAGCCCTAGCAGGAGCTTGACTTGGAGGCCAATTGTTGAGAATTTCAAGAAAA